TTACTCTCTCTTCCACTGTTCTTTCTCTTCTTTCAAATCCACCAAGTTATCTTTCATCCAGTCTTGTGTACTTTTTTCTTCTTAAATCCGATTTTGCTGTTTTGTATAGTATATTATTTTTTTATATTTTTATTTTTATTAAAAAATATTTCAAAAATTATTATTCTTTATTATTATTGATATGGGGTTTTTTTACCTTCTTTTATTGTGTTTCCTTTCGTTGAAGAATCTGATTTGTGTGTGCAGGATGACCCGAGTCTTCCACTCCATTCAATAAAATTAGATACAATTAATTTCTTAACGATATGATCAACAGATATGGCACCCCCTGTATTACTGTTTTCCTGTATTACTGTTTTTTTTACATTCAGTTCAGGCCCGTAGCTAGGTTCTTCCAAGGGGGTTTTCTGGGCATGAGGTCCACAATCGAAGCCCCTGTGGGGTCGGTGAAACCACTGGGATTTTTGTACTATGGGTCTAAATAATGCTATGAAAGCAGATATGTTCTGCAGTGCATTAGTTGGACTTATTTGGGAGGTGGTTTTCTCCCGGACTATAATAAACCCCCACCCCTGGATACAGGCCTGCAGTTCTAAGAAATTGTTAAAAGTAAATTATTTAATTTCAGAATGGTAGTGAGACTTATTACCCCGGTTAATTAGACCAATTAATGATCAATCATCTGCAAATTTAATAAATGGGCATGAATCGTGACAGAGTCCGATGTATACAATATAAACAAGGAAGGTAGTGGCGGGAGGGGCACTACAACACCCGGCCCGGGAAGGTCATTGGGGTTGTGGGAGTGCCATTTTCGACCATCTAGGTGCCTTTTCTTCTTGCTCCAGCCACAATCATATTCGGATCCAGGATTAGTGGGCGGTGTGAGAGCCGCTTATATACTCCAACTACCTGACTTGGTCCAAAGGCGAACAATTCTCTCGCTTATCACTTTTTTTTAATCCAATTCACTTAACAAACAAGTAAGGTTTCAATCAAACACAATACAACATGTGGTTCATTTAATATTTATTATTTTTAATACATTCATGACCTTTTAGTGTGGGAGGAAACCGAAGTACTCGGGGAAAACCCACGACAGTGCGATAAATACAGAACATTTAAAGCGGTCATGTATCAACACTGCCCCATAAATCTTCATGCCTATTATTTGTGAGAAATGCATAAATACACATTGCATGCAATACAAAAACATTGTTAATTATTAAAAATGATTTTTTGATAAGTATAAGTATTATAATTTGATTGGAAACTTTCGTATTCATATTATTATAGTTACAAGTTCAAATAATTGTATTAACATGAAATGCCCATACCTAAAACTAAATCACTTCACAACCCTTCAACAGTGCAACGGCCCAGAATGTTCAAAGTATCCCAACTACGAGGTTCATTGCATATTTTATTTTATTTTATATTTTATTGAATTTTATTCAGTGTTCCCATGGTTACAATAACCAAAGCATGGCCAAATTATAGATATATTTTGTACAGGGACAACAAAATGAACGCAGATCGATTGAAACATGAAATGAAGTTAAAATATCCATCCTTTTCTCATCTATGAAATCAATTTATCAATTTACCTAGCTCTATCTTATCTATCTTAACTACAGTACCTTAGTTACAACTCTTATCTATCTTAACTACAGTACCTTAGTTACAACCTGACTATCTTAAAACCTGGCTATAAGCAGTGGAGGGAGAAGAGAGCTATTAACTGTGCTATTAATTTCAATATGAGAGAGGATGGATTATGTTAAAGGTTAGAAGGATTAGTTAATGAACAACCAGATATACAAAAGTGAATGTACTAACAAACAAACAACTAACAAACAAACAAACATGGATCTGTGTTCAAGATGTACCTATTCAATTTAATTATTAATCATTGTTATTATATTATTACCTTTATTTATTTTAATGAACTACTGTATATATTCTATTATTACCTTGTTAATAGAGATGAGCTTCAGTACCTCGGTAACCCTGGAAGATATGTTGGCGGAGTGGTATGTTCAACCATGTCAAACAGGTAGTGGGTAGAGGTCAGTCCCTGGCCCTCCAGGTTTGGTGTAGGTGGCAGAAGAAAACTTCTACACAATTTTTTGCACTGTGGAATGGCTGTGAAATGATTTTAGTTTTAGATGTTTATTGTCAAAACATGCTAACATCCCAAGCATGCAAATGTAGTCTCTCATTGAATATTTCTTATCGGTCGAGAGATTGCGTTAGTTCCTTAAGATTTGTAGCTGCCTCCACCAGTATTGATGTGTGTAGGCTTTGTAGATTTGTTTCCACCAGTATTGATGAGTAATATATTAACACCAATCAATCAATCGTTCCATCGTTCAATCAATCAATCGTTCCAGAGCGATTACCATCTACTCCTATCAGTCAATGTTTTCGATGAAGTTTACTGCAGAAAAAACAATTATGTTGTTAATGACATGACATGACGACTTAATGCAAAGAATAAAAAAATTTATAAAAACTGGAATCTTTGAATAGCACATGAAATGCCTAATAGACAGTTCACATTAAAAGAACAGAAAGCTAAAAATATTAAGCAATTCAAATATTGTATATATTTTTTAGCATATTCCAGGTATTTTGGGGAGCTTTGGTGTATCTTTCACTTAAATTTGAAATCTTAAATGCAATGTACAGTACAGTATTTCACATCTGTTTTTTGTACAAGCTAATAGAAAGCAAATTTCCAATAGTGTATACATCTGAACGCATGTTATCTTATGATGTAAAGTCTGTTTTCCACTAGGCAAATTTATTCACACGAATTGAAAGCATTAGAAATTAATCCTTCATTCCATTCAAAATAGAACAATTTACTAGCTGATATTAGTGAATGGTCTCGCTCGCATTTTAATTTGTATTATTTCCAAGTGGAAGAACTTCAGCAAGTGTATTTCAAATTTCTCTAATTTAAAATTCATACCTGCAATTCCAGTATTAATAGGCCAGTTTCTGCTACATGCAATAGATGTTTTGTGCCGAGTCACCGAGTTTTGACATCACATTCAGACAGAATATCATTTACTTTGGTAAAAATGCACGGTAAAAACATCCTCATTTCCAATCGTACCAGGTAGCTTTCTATATGAATACAGCTTGTCGGCAAATCTTTATTAAATTACATGGCCCACTTCACGGTCCATCTCCAGGAGTCCGCCTCACATCAGCAACAATTGAGTCATGGATTTTCAGTCTGCAAATAAATACAGAAAATTCCTTTTCATAAAATATGAAATTCAGCTACAGTAGTTTATCAATCTCATACTGCAAATATATTTACATACCGTTAAGTTTCAAAACTGCCGTAGCGTACAACAGATGTCATTATCAATGCAGCATATTTAGTCCAGTCTAAACATTCCACATGTCATTCCTGAAGATGACCCAATCATGACGTCGAATCATGGGTGCCCTTTCTTTATTTGGAAAATTGTTCGTTCTATGTTATTTAAACATCAGTGCATCTGTTGATTGATGTCATCACATGTAATGTCTATCCATACCGACGTCGAATCATGGGTGCCCTTTCTTTATTTGGAAAATTGTTCGTTCTATGTTATTTAAACATCAGTGCATCTGTTGATTGATGGCATCACATGTAATGTCTATCCATACCGTACCGCAAATCATAAAGAATTTGGTCATTCCACATGTCTATTCCAATAACTGAAAATTACTGAATTGTATGGAGTAAAGAAAGAAAATGTTAAATAGCATTAAATTTTAAGATTACATAAATTAAAAAACATACGTATATAAATACAAATTAACTTATACAAATACACGCAGCATGTGCACAACTTCTTGGAATATACTTAAAATGATGAAAATGATTATTACTGAGATATACTCTGTAAGATTTAAACTGTTTTCTTCCATAATGATTATTTTATTGGAAATGTATCTCAAATTAGGTTACTTTTATTATTCAACTGCAAATTTATTTTATATAAATTAAATTAAATTTTGAAACTGTTTATACAGCTGATGTCGCTACCAACGCAGCATATCTAGTTCAGTCTAAACATTCCACATCATATCATCACATGTAATGTCCATCTATCCACACGGTACCGGAACTTATGGAGAAGTTGGTCATTCCACTCATCTATTCCAATAACTGAATTTACTTGGTCAAATTGTATAGAGTAAGGAAAAAGATTGATGGCATTAAATTTTAAGATTAAAAAAAACACACATGAATACAATTACACTAACTTATACATATATAAATACACAAACAAATACACACATAAGATATAGGCAAGCAGCGCGCAGTATGTGCACAACCATTCTTGGAATATCCTGTGAACTCGCTAAATGGAGTCTATTTACTGTAGTTTGGTAGTTTGTATCTGCTCTGTGAAAGATGACAAGGCAGCACCATCTACTTATTGAGCACACCGTTAACAATGATTGTTGAGCAACTTGAGAAATTTTCTTCATGGTATAATTTATCTGAAATGACGATACAAAGTTATATTTTAAAATCTTTATGGTTTAATTGGTGTGCACTTGTATAGCGCACTTTCAGTTTATTTTGGGTAGATGACTAATATATAATTCATGTGATCATAAAATAATTATGTGAAAATTATTATTATTATACACTTAAAATAAAACTTTCCTTAATAACTATATCAACCACAAATTTATTTAACATACCTGTTAAAGATCAATTATAGCGCACAACTGACATCGCAACGCAGAATATCATTATTCTTCCACATCATGTAATCACATGTAGTGTCTATTCGTACACACCAGGAAACCGTCCATTCAGATAACTGGATTTACTCTGTCCAATTGTATGCAATAAAGAAATAGAGAATTTTTTAGATTAATAACAGTAAATAGTGGCTATAAAACACTTATTGCATGTACAAACAAACAAATACAAACAAATAGGCACAAAAAACAGAGACAAGTCTTGCGTAGCTGCAAGTCGTTCATAGCACGTGCGCAACAGAAATCTTCCATTATGCGGCTGCTTTTTGTAGGCTAAGTTCCGTAATCGTCTAACTACTTATTAGACCTTGTTTAAGTGTCGAACAATGGGGGTCTAGGTATGTGCAAAGCGCCCCTGGTGCCATCACTGATTTCTACATTATTTTGGCGTCAATATGCGTATGTTGTATTCTTTGTAGTTCTGTGACTGAATGGTGTCGAGCTTCTTTAGTCTGGGGAATTGTAGTTCTTTACGTAGTCATACACTGGATCGGTTAGACGGCCGACCGACCGTTAGCCGACGAAAAGTTATTCACTCCCTGCTATTACTTGGCACCATCTGCTTTTTGTTGCCACTTTGCACGAATCATTAAAAATAACTGTTGTGTAAATTGGTGCGCAACCTTCCATCACTATGGTACGATTTATCTGAAATGACAATGATGACATGTTTAAAATCTTGATGGTCAATAGTTTATTACAGATTGAAGTTGTAATGATCATATGAAAATGTTCAAGAGAACAACTTGCATTCCAACAAGCAAAGTAGAAAAGAAAGGAAAAGATAAGAATGTTCTTTTCTTCAATTATAAAGCATAACACAAATTAATATTTACAAAATCTGTGTTCTCATTGAGGTGTATCTCCTAATTCAGCATTACAGCAAATTCATTGACATACCTGTATCATAGTGCATGGATGAAGTCTCCAAAAACACACATTTCTGCAGTCTTAACATTCCTCATCATGCCATCATATGTAGTGCCTATCCATACCGTACCAGCAGACTCTGGAAGAAATTGATATAATTCCGCTTGTCAAATTGTATGATACTGTAATTTGTTCTTTTATATATGGACTAAAGAGTTTGGAAACTTACATGATAGTTGGTCGCTAACAGCTACCATTATCAATTGACTGGAATGTAGATTAAACTACATCTTCAGCTTGCAGACTGGTGGCGCTCTGTCGGCAAATCACCCCTGATCTGATGCAAGACGAGAGCAGCTTTAAATCAGCCATCATATGACATATGATAAAAAATAATCACACTCTGGATTGAAACACCTTATAGGTATTTGAAAAAGCTGATTAATTTAATTCAACCAAAAGACTAGATGAAAGTGTATGCAATAAAGAAAGAGAACCTTAAAGATTAATTACATTAAACTATGTGCTATATACAAATACACACACATGCATACACATATATACATTTACAGTACATAGGAATGTCTAGCATAGTATATGGTACATTGCATTTTAGCTGCAGGAGGTGTTCCTCTATTGTCCCACTTTCTTGACCAGTTTCTGAAAAAAGGCATGAAAATCAATGTGTTTGAAAATAAGTTAAATCTGAGTAATAGTCTTGGATTGGAGATACTGGTCAGTGCAGGCGTTCCAGCAGCTTCTTTAAGCTTGACCCCTCTGGCTAGAATAAAAGCCAGAATACTGTAGCCAAAGTCTATTTTTCTGTTGGCACAACAGCGAAGTCGGGCCTCATTAAGAATGGTCATCCAGCAGCTTCTGTAAGGATGACTTAAACTTTGGGGTAGCCAAAGTCTATTTTTTCTGTTGGTAAAACAGAGGAGTCGGACATCATAGATACATTATGAATGGTCATCCAGCAGCTAATGTAAGGACGACAAACTTTGGGGTAGCCAAAGTATTTTTCTGTTGGCATAACAGAGGAGTCTGACCTCATTAGACACATTATGAATGGTCATCCAGCAGCTTCTGTAAGGACGACAAACTTTGGGGTAGCCAAAGTCTATTTTTCTGTTGGCACAACAGCGAAGTCGGGCCTCATTAAGAATGGTCATCCAGCAGCTAAAGTAAGGATGACTTAAACTTTGGGGTAGCCAAAGTATTTTTCTGTTGGCATAACAGAGGAGTCTGACCTCATTAGATACATTATGAATGGTTTTCCAGCAGCTACTGTAAGGATAACTTAAAACTTTGGGGTAGCCAAAGTTTATTTTCTGTTTGCAAAACAGAAGTTGGACCTCATTATAGATACATTATGAATGGTCATCCAGCAGCTAATGTAAGGATGACTTAAAACTTTGGGGTAGCCAAAGTCTATTTTTCTGTTGGCATAACAGAGGAGTCTGACCTCATTAGATACATTATGAATGGTCATCCATCAGCTCTGTAAGGTTAACTTAAATCTTTGGGGTAGCCAAAGTCTATTTTTCTGTTTGCAAAACAGAGGAGTCAGACATCATTAGATACATTATGAATGGTCATCCAGCAATGTGTAGTGCAGAAAAACCTTTCTGCAATTTGATGCCAGAAACTATTCTGTAATCATTTTCAAAGGTACTTCAGAGACGGTTGGCATTTGTTCACTTGTTGAAGCCGTCACCTGTCCCCTCATATTCTAACTCTTTTGAAAAATGTGAAATTCTATAAAGGCATATTTGATGTAGTGTTGCAAACATTTAATCAAATCATTGATTCAGTGGCAGATCCATGAATTTGAAATAGATTGGGCGCAGGTGGGACTTTCACAGATAGAGGGACTACACCACCTCAGCACCACCATGGTTATTTTATTAATAATTTTGAAAAAAATATGGGAGCAGCCGCCTTGAATCCACCACTAAGATTTAAATTTTGTATAAAGGACAGCAGATAAATGCAGATTAGTTTATATGATAGTTATGCAAATCTGAAGTTAGATGAAGGTATGATGAAAATATGACAGGTAGGTTAGTTTGAAATAGTGATTATATGATATTCAAAAATAAATGGCAATGAATAAATAAACAAAATCTGCATTTAAAGAGGTGTCCAATATTACATTGCAATTGATTATTGATTTAAGAATATTACCTGAAAGTGTCAATTACTGTATGTAGAACTGTACTGTATTTTTTATGAGACATGTAATGTATTTGATAGTACCGCTCTTATTTTGGTGTCAATACAGACATGTTACCTTCTTTGTGCAGAACTAATTCTGTGACTGGATGATGTCGAGCTATCCTTGGATCCGATGAGTTGTAGTTTATTGTAATAAAGCCACACATTCTTGAGTCGAATGGCCAAGCGGTGAAGGCAGGGGCACTAAAAGACATAATATTGGTACTGGTTCGAACGCCACGCTCGCCAATGGTTCTGGTGGTAGAACAAGTCTTCTCGATCAGAAAACCTTAGGCCCAGCACATCCTTTGAGTAGAGTGGGGGTTACCCCGGTGTTGGTCTATTCAGCCACTGTCGTGACAGATAAACATGCACTTCTCAGCAGCACCTTAGGGGAGAAAAAATTTGTTGAACGAGTTAAACCTGCAAGTCACAGGTTATTTCCAACCTTTACCTTGGGTCGGTCGACTGTTGAATTATGCAACACAGTCACTTTGATCAAATCATTAACAATAATCGTCACGTAGTGTTCTCCATCATTGTACGATTAATCTGAAAAGACAATACAATGTTATAGATTTACATATTATGGAAGCAGTTTAGCGCATCGGGAACGGTTTGGTTTCCCAACCTCGAGGCTGGGGTTTTAGTCTACCATTTTATCAGCATTGCTTCTCTCCACCCAGGAGTCAAGGGTACCTGGTGGGGTTGCCTGCTCCAGGAGAAGGGAGGCATACATGCTAAGTGTTGTTGTAAACAACACTTAGCATGTAGACATAATGACCAGGGAAAAGAACTGCGCTTTATAACCGCAAGGAAGAGGCCCATTATAAATGCCATTAACACCTTGTATAGCACACTTTCCAGAACAAGAGAAAAGAACAAATCCACAGTAAAACAATTAAAAAAACAAAAAGAAAGGAATATAAGATACAATATAGAAATAAATAAATATTGTCAAATAAAAAGGACACATAAAGTAGGAGCACAGTACAACACAAAGCAAGCATAAGTTGGTTAAATGAAACAAAAAAAAATAAAACGAAATAAAATTTAAAAAAAAAAAAATAAATAAATAAAATAAAAAAAATAGTCCAAAAACTTAACAGAGCACATAACAAAAAGTAAAAATAAGCATGTTTGAGAACACAGGTTCCGTATATCCTTAGATGAGCATATCTGAAATGACAACAAAATCGCATGTTATAAAATACTTCAAGAACTTGAAAATATCACAGCACCGGTGGCGGTGCCTGCGGGGTGGGCAGCAGGGGTTTAAGCCCCCAAACGGACAGAACTTGTAGGGCAGTCGCACTAAAAAAAAAAATAAATAAAACAGGCCACAGTTTGAGAGTGTCATTTCTGGCCACCAGGTTTCTATTCTTTGGAAACATTTACTTGGAAAGGGGGAACACTCTCGCAAACCAGTCCCCCAGTCTCGGGCTGCGAGCTTAAGTCTCCATTGGACAGCCCAACCCCCTCCCAGAAAATATACCGCCACTGCACAGCATATATACAGTTGACAAGACAGCTTCTGTATACCCAAAGGAGCACCAGTACCAGCCAGTAGGCTTAAGGATATCTGTAATTAAGAAAAAAAGTGCTTTAAACATATTCAAACAAAACATTTTACACTACACTACACACTGTGTACAATATTTTTACCCAGAAAATAAAGAGTCGGACACAAAGTTTGTTCAGATTATATTATTTCAACAGTTTTAAACAATTCCAATAGGCCTTAGCCTATATACACAATTTTTCAACACACTATGATAAATCAAATGCAACCTTCTATGATTTTTAAATAAAAGAGACAGACACAAAGGGTTTTTTTTCATATTTATTTGCAACAGTTTTATACAATTCCAATAGACATGGTCCAATAGGCCATGCCTATACACACATTTTTTTTTCAACACACTTTGATCAGGGAACAGTGAAATTTCACTGTTCCCTGAATAAGTAACCTTATTCTACAGTACGATTTTAAGTAAAGAGACAGAGACACCAAGTTTGTTTATATATTTTATTACAATAGTTTGAATCATGTTACATGAACAAGTTAAAGCCCAATTAACATGGACTATGACATGTTTCATAAAAGAAAATTTATAATAAAAAAGGTACAAGTAAGTACACTATATAGTACTTGCTTGTCTAACAACTATGTAATCAGCTAAAATTGATGTATGTGAAAGATGATGATGCATAAAGTATTAAATGCCCCTTCTGTCTAACACTGAAAAACAGCTTAACACAAAAGTCATTTTTATATATGCTATGTACTGCCATCAGGCAGATTTACAACTTTGAGGTACACTTAATCCAGGCAGCTCCTGCTACCCTTATCAAGTGACCAGCAATAAAAAAAAAAAAAAATATTTACGAGGTATTTATATTAATTTGGTTTACAAAAGTGTTGCTGTTCGCGGATGAAGGTGGACAACCTGAAATGCAGAAGTGGTTAGTTCTTACTTGGTTTGATGCTTGGATGCTCGAAGCGATGTCTTGCCGCATTAGTCACCTACCTGGTCATATTCATTGTGCATCAGGATACAATTTGTACAACTGGTTTATAATTTATACATCATAGGTCTAAGTGTTAGTGTTGTATATTGTGTATATGTGGCTTGTTGTGTTCTGTGTTGTGTGATGATTGTCTCTGTATTTTGAACAGACCCTTAGAAAAAATAATGTATAGAATTTCTGTAGTATACTTCTAAAGAAGTGTGTAGACGCTTTTGTATATTTGTAGAATCTCTATAGCAATAATAATTATTATAAAAATGTTTCATATTATATGAAACATTTTTAACCTAACCTATAATGTTCTATCAATTTCAATAGCATTTTCTTAAACCTCATATAGAGTTCTTACAAAATTCAACAAATTACTTTGCAGAAAAAAGTTTCTAAATAAAA